ATCTGTTGTTTATTCCTGCCTAGTACCTTTTTTAAATAATTTATTTATTTTTAGAGAGAGGAAGGGAGGGAGAAAGAGAGGGAGAGAAACATCAATGTGTGGTTGCCCCTCACATGCCCCTAACTGGGGACCTGGCCGGCAACCCAGGCATGTGCCCTGGCTGGGAATCGAACCAGTGACACTTAGGTTCACAGGCCCATGCTCAATTCACTAAGCTACACCAGCCAGGGCTCTAGTACCTCTTTTTTGGTAACAGCACCCATCTCTTCCACTTGGAAGATCTTTGGCCTCCTATTCTCAGAGCCTGTGGCTCAGAACTGGCAGAGTGGGTAGGCACAAGATTCAGGCCTGACCAATCAATTCAAAATTTGCCTGAGGCATGAGACCTGAGATGGGCCAATGGAAGCTCAGCTAGGACTCTCCGTGGGACTTTAGCATAGAGGCACTCCCTCAGCCGAGGTTTTAAAGCTGTTTGACTGCAAGCTTGCCAGACATGGACCATATTTACCATCACATGCTGACCTCCTAACTAGGAATGAACCCAATTTATTGGGACACCAGACCAAAGATGGTGACAGATTTTTGATGACATGGTTTGAGCACCTAGATCCAATTACATCTACCCCTAGTCTTTTTGGTATGTAAGCCAATAAATCTTTATGCTTAATCCAATTCTAATTCAGTTTCAAAACTTGCAACTCAAAAGAGTCCTGACTAATACCATCACCAACATAATTGTTATCTGCAGCCCCACCCCTTCTCCTCCTTCCTGGAGCCAGAAGTAAAAGTCCACTTCCTGAAGCAGAGCCTCAGATGATTGCAACAGTCAGCCTGTGAGTACCCACAGGAAGTCCAGGGTGGCAGTGTGGGGCATGGCAGTTGAGTAGGAGGCTCTGAGGTACTTCCGGGGCACAGGAGACAAGAGGGCAGAGACCTACCATTAAGAGACAGGTTCTAGCTGCCTATTCCTGGAGCACTCGTCTGTTTTATCACCAAGCTCCAATTGCAAATGCCTTGTTAGACACAGATTAAAATCACGCTAGTGGATGCTCAGCAGGCACTCTGAGCCAATCAGAAACCATCATTCCTCTTAAAGCTTCCTATTTGAATGCAATCATGCCTTGAAAAGGGCCCCAGGCCTTGCAATGATATTACAATTCTAAACTCTGATCCCTAGACTGACTCAGTTTTGTAGACACATATATTGCCCCTGAAAATGGCCCAAAAATGTGATCTAAGATTTTCCAGCAAAAGTAGGGCCAGAAACCTAAGGACAGAAGAGGTAGACTCTTTTATTCATTGTATTAGATTAGGAGTAATGAAAAGGGAAATAACAGATCCCTTTCTTCTAAATCAAGACTATACCTCCATGAGAACAAATACCATGTTTTGCTTTGTTTTCCTTATCATTGTATTTGTAGTACCTAATATGATGCCCAGAATGAATGAGGCATGAAAGACTTGGAAAGGGAAGACCAAATGATGCTTTCAGAGTCAGGATCAGATAATAACTCTGAGTTGTCCAACCCTGGGTTTTGTATAGAAACAGATTGCCTCTAAATCTGCTATCTTAACAGATAATGTGAACTTTGGTCATTTTTGCTTGTCTAACATCTGTTCCCTTTTTTTATAAGGTCCACAATTGCCTTTTGGGAAAATGCTCTCCTCATTTTATGTCCTCTTTGGGGGAGGGTGAATCCTGGCAAACACCTACCACATAAAAGGTGAAGAAACCATATCCTTCTTCTGTTTGTCCCACCTCCCCTCTGTCATTCTGATGATCTCTCCTAGGACTTTAACTCTTGGACAAGCGGCTCAAGGATGGAAGGGCTGCCTGGAGCTCATTTATTTTGGTATTGAGCTCACCAGTCTATTTCTGCCACAAACCCTCACTGAGGTCCTTACTACCCTTTCTAAGCCTGGTCCCTCAGCTAGCAACCAGGTCCAGGCTGCTAATAACTTTTTAATGAATTCTCTTTTGTGTGAATCAGCTAGCATTGCATAGTGCAGGTGGGCTGCTCCTCCAGCTAAGTGGTATTGGTCAAGCATTAGACATCTTAACCCTAAAGTGGGCCAATCAGATGTCTCTTTTTCTGGGACTTTACAAGTCTGACCTAGAAAAGATGAAAGTTGTAGGTTGCCCAGAGCTAAGGCTCAGAAGTAAGTTGATGCTAGGAGAAAGGTCTATGATTTTTATTGGTGAGGTTTGAGATTTTTTTCTGGGTTCCAATATTACCTATCTGGAGGAGAGTTTCAATAAATTTGCCTTTCTTGATTAAGTTTTCTATTATTGGCTTATGTTACCATCAACCAAAAAAAAGAACCTTAATTAACACAGGCTCCATGTGATAGAAGGCTCCTTGGAGTCAGGGCCAGATTTTCCTTTATTTGCCCATTTATTTTTTCATCATTTATTGGGTACTTTCTAGGTGCTGCAAACCCAAAAGTGAATTCGGCAATTCCCTGAACTCAAGGAGCCTGCTCTCTGTCTAGCTGGGGTATAGATCTATTCATTTAGCCATTCACTCACTTACCAAATAATTCACTCATTTAACTAATAACAGCCAACACTTACTGAACATTATGTGACAGGCCCTGGTACTAAATATTTTTCTCACTTAATTTTCGTAACTCTATTAGGTATGTACTATCTTATAGATGAAGGAACCGAGTCACAGAGAGGTTAGGCAGCTTTGCCAAAGTCACAGGCTTTTAAGCGCTGGAGTTGGGTCTCCAATCCTGTCCAACTACAGAGATCTGGTTTCTCACCACTCTGTAACCTCCTTTTCAAAAGAAAATCCCAAAGCAATGTGACATATGCTTGCATGGGGGTGCATAAAGTTCACAGAGAAGAAAGTGACTCATGTTGTGGGGAGGTTGGGGTTCAAGAAAGGTTTCGCAGTTGAGGAGGTTTGAACAATCTTGGGGGAAGAGAAGAGTTGTAACCCTGGTGCCTCGCACAGAACTTTGCGTGTGAACTCCATACAATGATGATCAGGCTGCTTGCACATCTGGAAGGAGTTGTTTTTCTGCTTCCATGGAGGATGGGGTATTTCCTGCTGCCTTCTGAGGCATCCCTTGTGTGATTTAGCAATGGCACACGAGGTCATCAGACCATTTGTGTAGTGTATCACTGATGCTCACAAAAGTATTGACTTCATAAGATCGGTGAAGAAACCAAGGCTGATGTTGCATGACTTGTCCAAGACCACACATGGTGAGTAAGTGGCAGAACCAGACAAGGACCTGGTATCCTGCCCTCCAGGGGGAGGGATTGGCTAACAAGATTCCTCTAAACTAGTCAGGCTCCTGTACTCTTAGTCTCCAAGTTAAGGCTTTGCTCTTTACAGCCTCTATGCCTGAGCCTCTGAAGGTTCCCTCTCCCAGGAACATCCTCCTCTTGCTTCTCATTTCCAGCTTTCTAAATCCTGATCATCCTTCAGGATTAAGCTCATCCCACATCTTCCTCTCAAGTCTTCTCCAAATTCATTCAACCCACTACCTACATTTTAATTAAAATCCCTTAGCCATATTTCCAACCAAATTTCTGCCCTGAAATCTTCTCATGTAGAAAGACTAGACTCACCACTGTCTCTAACTGTTGTTTACTATGTACACATCTTGTCTCTCACTAGAATATGAGGCACAAACCATATGCTTCTTTTTTTTGCTTCATACATCTATCGCAAACTTTGGTTCTTCGGGATCGTGTTGTTTGTTGGCTCAGAGGATATATGTTCTGCCCACCTGCTGTTAGATTGCCCAGCTCTCAAATCATGCAACATTGCTAACTTGTCGGACCCCCTTTCTAAAGCTCCTGGTGAGGGGGAAGAATGCAGGGGCTCTCATAGGCACATTCAGCAATTAATAATGACCAACACTTGATAATGTTTACTAATTACCAGGTTGTCTACAAAATATACTACATGTATTAACCCATTAAATCCTCAAGATGTCTATTATCCACTCTGAACAGATGAAGACATGTAGAGGCCACTCTGTTATTAAGTGGTACGGCCAGGATTCAAGCCCAGCCTGACTTGAGTCCATACCCTTAACTATGACACTAAATTCTCTATGGGTAACCAAAAGTCTCTTGCTATAATGTATATCTACTTCCTTTCTTTCTAACCCCTGTGGGAAGATAGAATTAAAGGGGTGAGAAAATAATACAGTATTTATTATGCTCCTAGTGTCGCCAGGTATTATGATAGGTGCACGATGCTTTATTAAAATATTTCTTGTAATGAGTCTATGAAGCAGGAAGTATTAATTCCATTTTAAAGAATGTAACTCCCAAAGTTGTTAAATATTCAAGGTTTAGTGTATGGTTATTGGCAGAGTGGGAAGGAGACCAGGTTTCCTGACTTCCAAGGAAGTACTCTTTAAAGGAAATTGTACAGAAAACACTGATAGGGACAGGGTGAAGGGCAGAGGCGTCTGAATTATTACTTAAGAAATTCTGTTAATGTGTTGTAAAGTCTATGATTGTCTAAACACTGTGCTGTACACCTGAAACTAATACAAACTTATACTGAATGAAAACTGTAATTGAAAAATAATATTTAAAAATATGAGAAAAATGTTGGCAGGTGGAGAAAAAAAGAAATATGTTAACGTATACCGAATAATGGTGAGACAATGTCAGAAAGGCTATTCCATTAACACCCAGTAAGTAAATTAAGGAGTCTTGTTTTGGCCTGGAATTAAAACTGAGAATTTACCCAGTGGCAAGGGAGAGGGGGCGCCACTTGTCCAGGAGAACTACGGAACCCGCTCAGGAGACGGGCTCCGCCCCAATTTTTTTCCTCACACTCTTATTGGCTACTTTTTCCTGGCCCCCTCCTCAGTGTGGACCATTAAGCATCCAAGCTTTTCCCACGACCCGACTAGGACCTCCAATCGGGTGCCAGGTCCACGAGTCCCTCCAAAAGCCCTGGACACCGGCATGACTCTTTACTCTCGCCCGTGACTGGCCAGGGAGCACCATGGGGTCCGCCTCCTCCTCCTCCAGATTGGTCAGCGGTCCTTAGGCTCACGACCCTCTTGCCGGCCCCCACCCGGTCTTCCCGTGGGCGGCCGAGCCTCTGCGGGAGTGGGCCCCGCCCCCATGTGACGCCGGGGAATTGGCGACACCGTGCAGCCATTTCCGGTTTCGGGGAGGTGGGTGGGGTGCGGAGCGGGACTTGGACCCGCCGCTGCTGCCTGAGCCGCCGCCTACAGAGTGTCTTGCGCCTGGTGCTGCCTGGACCATGCGGCCGGAGCCCGGAGGCTGCTGCTGCCGTCGCCCGGTTCGGGCAAACGGCTGCGTGGCGAACGGGGAAGTGCGGAATGGGTACGTGAGGAGCAGCGCTGCCGTCTCTGCCGCCGCAGCCGGTCAGGTACGGTGGGACCGGGCGGCCGGGCCGGGGCTGTGGGCCGGACCCCGGGAGCTGGCGCGCCGGTGCGGAGCCGGCTGAGGAGGCGGCCGGGCTGGGGGAAATCGTGGTGACCGCCACCCCGGCGGGCGTCCGGCACGGCTCAGGTGTGCTGGCGGTGGCGTCCCGGTGTTGACCGGGCCTGCCGCGAGCCGGAGCCTCAAGGGCGGCACAGGGGCTCCCCCCATCTCCCTGCGCCTGGGGTCTTTCTCTCCTGCCCCCCCCCCCCGAGGTTTGGGGTGTGCTCGAAGCCTGGGTACTTTGCTCTACCCGATCTGGCCAGAAATGCGGGCCGCCCTCCACTGGAGGCAGGGGGTGACTCCTCGGACCCAGGAGGACCCTTCGGGGGCTCTTGATTCTCTCGGGGCCCCTTCTTCACGCCTTCGAGATGGTTGCTGTCTTTTCGGGTCCTGAAGCTCCCCAAGGGAAACCGTCCTGGGCTCCTCAGGAGGCAGAGAAAGTGAGCGGGAGGTACCAGGCGGAAACGTAGTTAGACGCTTCCTACCACATACCTCCCGCTTCTGCAAGCTAGACGTTGGAGCTCAGGTCTGGACGCGAACCCGGCCCGGTGCCTCGGAAGCAGCAGGCTCCCAGCCCGTGGGGAGACCCCGTCCCGGCTCCAGGTGGAGTTCGTTGTCCCTTTGACTCTTTGAGCAACAGTTCTGTCTCCCAAGGGGATTGTTTAACCTGGGGTGACTTGTGATGACTCTGTACTAATTAACCAAGGCTGAGTCACCAGCCAGGTCCAGGCAGTTCTGAAATATTTTGAGAAGTTCTTCGTTCAAGACAGTAATTATTAACCTTCCATTTCTCTGGACTGACATAGGCTGCCGAAACGTGTTTTTAAAGACAGACTGGTTGAAAGGATGCTAGATCGGTGTTGCTGGAAGAGAGTGTTGTGATGTTTGCAGTCGACTTGAATACTTACAAACCTTGTTCACATACGAAGGAAACCGCTCCCCCTACCCCCCCCCCCCCAAAGTAGTCTGTCCCCTGTGCTAGGCTTGTGACTGCTGTGATTTAGTTAGGCTTTAACGTAAATGTCTGGCCGTCTCCTCCCGCAGTCAGTAGGTATTATGGATGGGCCTGTTGCTGTTTGGTGCGAAACAGAAAATAAAGCTTTTCTCCAAGTCACGTTGAGAAAGTAAGACGTAAAAGTTGGGGAGTACTTCCAAGAGACTCGCCCTCCCCAGAAGTTGTGAGGCCTGGGGCAATATAATGCACAAGTTCAGTAGATTTGTTTTCATTTTTAAAGAAATAATTGTGAGAGAGAGGAAATGATAAGAATGGGCTCATTATAAGCAGTGGAAGGAGTTGTCTTCTAGCCCTGTTCATGGCTAATGAGGCGAAATCGTGGTGTGGAGTGTGACAGGGAAACCTCCGGGGAGGAGTGGGAAAATCCACTGCAGGTGAACCAGTGGGCTCTTTGAAGGGGGACAGGACACCGAGAGAGAGGTGTCCACGTTGCTGCCTTGCTCTGTGGTCAAGGGCTCTTTTCTCTTAATACAGGGGAGTTAGGTTCTGATTTAGCAGTAAATCAAACTCCTCCCTCCCTTGATCCCTAACAGTTGAGCATCGGTAAACATAATGTTTCTTCAGAAATTGCCGACTAATATGGTGAGGAACTATATCATGTTGCTAAAATGAAACTTAAAAATCTCTATGACTCAAACATCGGCTGACTTCTCCTGATAGGTTTTAGGGACAGATTTTACTCAAGGACTGTGGTGACATCTGGAAGAATAGTCTAGGGGAATGGCCTAAAGAATGTTCAGGGCTGCTAAACATTAGTGTATGCGGACTGTTGACTGTTGTCTGTGAGGGTTTTTTTCTTTCCTTTTAAACAAAAGAGAAATTTTTGGTAACTTAACGACAGCAAGAGTATCTTTAAAATATTTTTTTTTAAAGCTGTTTCTGTTTTGCCCTGGCTGGGTGGTTCAGTTGCTGGAGTGTTATCCTGGGTACCAAAGGGTTGCGGGTTCGACTCCTGGTCAGGGGCACATGCCTAGGTTTCAGGTTTGATTCTGGGTCAGGACTCACGTGGGAGGCAACTGATCCATGTCTGTGTCTCTGCGTCTCCTTCTTTCCTCCCTCTCTTTTAAAAAAAAAAAAAAATCAATAAACTTGTCCTTGGGTGAGGATTTTTTTTTAAGTTGTTTTTGTTTTAATTAAAGTGATATGCTAGCGCTCCAGCCCTGGTTTCTTCTTTGCAGTTTCTGGGTGATATGCTTGCCTTAAAAATACACATAAGATGTTAAGTGCACCGGTGTGGGTTCTGCTTTTACTAAAATAGTAGTGTAGATTATAACATGGTGTTTTACCCCGAGATATTTCAATATAATTATATATCCTCACATATTTCAACATTTGTCTTTTATGAACAGGAGAGAAGTTAGAAACTGCTAAGATTTCTTTACGCTCTTCAGAGTCTGTGTCTCTGTGTTCGTAGAGATGAATGTGCAGATGTTTGCCAACTGACGATGGGGTTCCATCCCGTCAACTCCGTCCGAGGTGGAGCATGCGTGAAGTGCTTTGCTAGGAGCACCAGCGTTTGCCCTGGCGGTCATCACGTGCCTGACTGGGGGCTGTGGTTCGCTGCCGCTGCCCAGCGTCACAGTAGTATCTTAACCACACCTCGCTAGCCAGGGAAAAAGTCAGAATTCAAACTCTGAAGCATGGTTTCTACCGAGTGCGTGTCACTTTCGCATCATCGTAAAGTTGGAAAGTCATTAAGTGGAACTGCTTTAAGTCAGGGACTGCGTGAATATGCTGCCACTTTATTGAATTCGGGTTTAGAGTCCGATTAAGTAGATCTTATGATAGGTTGGGCATGTGAGACAACCAGACATTACTGTTTGGTTTTGTTTCCCGTTTTCCTTTTCTTTGTTGTTGTGATAAAATACACATAACATAAAATTTACCATCCTAACCATTTTTTTAATAAGGAGAAAGGTAGGCTTCTTTATTTTTTAGATTTTATTTATTTATTTTTAGACAGAGGGAAAGTGGGGGAAAAAGAGGGAAAGAAACATCAATGTGTGGTTGCACTGTGCAACCCCTACTAGGGATCTGACTGCAACTCAGGCATGTGCCCTGACTGCGAATCGAACCCACCACCCTTTGGTTCACAGCCCATGCTCAATCCATTGAGCTATACCAGTCAGGGCTTTCCTAACCGTTTTTGTGTATGGTTCAGTGGTATTAAATGTATTCATATTTGTGCATCTGCCACTACCAACCATCCTCATAATTCTTTTTATCTTGTGAAACTGAAACTCTGTACCCAGTAAACAGTAACTGCCCATTCCCCTCATCTTCCAGCCCCTGGCAGCCGCCTTCCTACTTTCTGTCTCTGTCCGTTTGACTGCTGTAAGTACCTCGTGTAAGTGGAATAAGTGCAGTATTTGCCTTTTTGTGATGGGCTTATTGCCTCTGTCATAATGTCCTCATGGTTCATCCACATAGTAGCACGTATCGGAATTCTCTTCCTATTTAAGGATGAATAATGTTCCATTGTATATACATACATACATACCACCTTTCCGTTAGCCATTCATCATTAGTGGCCACTCGGATTGCTCCCCTGTTTTAGCTGTTGTGAATAGTGCTGCTATGAACATGGAAGGTTATGAAAGTAGATCTCTTTCGAGTTTCTGTTTTCATTTCCCAGAAGTGGAATTGTTGGAATATGGTAGTTTAATTTTTTGAGGAAATGCCACAATATTTTCCACAGTGGCTGTAGCTATGAGATAGTAGGAGTATGTATTTGTAGTTCTGGGCACAGAACTCCTATAATCTCTGTGATTTCCTGAGTAATAAGAGTATTAAGAGCATGTTTTGTTTTCATATTTGGTCTTTGACCCTGATTCCTGACCACAGAGTGCCCAAAGCTCCTGGAGCGTTCTTGGTGTTCTGTCCTATGAGGTGACTCTTGGTGGGTCCAGGATAGGGGCTGGTCACCAGAAAGACCAAGCCATGATTAGAAGCTTGGGATTCTCGGTCCTACCTCCCATTTTCCAGAGAGGGGAGAGGGGCTGCAAATGGAGTGAAGTCTCCATAAAAATCCCAGAGGTATGGGGTCGGGAGAACTTGTGGGTTGCTGAACACAGAGGTACTGGGAGGGTGGCACACACCTTCCCACACACCTTGCCTTACTCGTCTCTTCAAACTACACATTCCGTGTACCTTTCATTGTATCTTTTTATGATAAACTGGTAAACAGTTTTCCTGAGTCCTGTGAGTTAATCTGATTTGTAGCTAATTGTGAGAAGCACAGTTGAGAATCTAGACCTATGATTGGCATCTGAAGTTGGGGTTTAGGGGGATAGGTAATCTTGTGGGACTGAGCCCTTAACCTTTGGGATGTGACGATATCTCCTGGTACATAGCATTAGAGTTGAGTTCATTGTAGGGCACTGAGTTGTTGTTGAAGTATCACTGGATGGTGTGGAAACACACACACCTCCCTTCCCAGTCCGGTGTCACAAGTGGTGTGCGTGTGGTAGTTGAGTTAATAAAGGAGAAACATCACAGGAGTGTTGGGTGTTAGGGCTTTATAGTAACCATCCTCATGGGTGTAGACATTGCTGGTTTGTTTGTTTTTTTAATTTCGCCGGAGCAGACATCCATGTGAGAGAAGCATCGATCAGTTGCCTCCCGTACTCGCCCCAACTAGGGACTGAACCCACAACCTAGGCGTACCCTGACCTGGGATCAGACCTGCAACCTTTCAGTTTATGGAATGACGCTCCAACTGAGTCACACTGGCTAAGGCGTTACTGGTTTTTTATGATGTCGGTAGACACGGTTTTCACAAGGAGGAGTAGCAGTAAAGCAGTATTTTTTTTCTCCCTACCATTCAAAAAATGAGAAGAGGGTCCACCTTTATTGGACATAAAGGGTGCCAGTTAGCATTAGGGAAACTTGGAAAGAGTTAGAATTGGGAGCTGTTGCAGAATTAGAGC